ATGTAGTCAGTTTATAGTTAAACAAACAACGATTTATCATAAAAGATTTAAACAAAACAGTCGACTGAATGCAGTAAGTGTCTTTATCGAATTACATATTTGATTGTTTTCTTGTGATTATTTTAGTGTTCATTATGTGTTTTGGTAAATATTCAGTGCAGTGGAATTTATTTTTACTGTCAATTCTTAATAATTTTAAATTATATAAATATCTGCATTTCTAGATTGGGAAAAACAAATTGTAACTGCATTGATCAAGGTTAACTGTTTCTACGCTCTAGTTATAATGACGGGAGCTCAGTTGATTTCTTCTTGCACGACTACACAACTTTGCCGTGCAATTAAATATACACGTATACACACAAATGCATATACGCACATGAATGTATGTTTTATTTCTTCATTGACTCTTGTCTTCTATCTTGGCTCGTGATAGGAAATCAGTTAAATTAAATTATAAGTGAAAACATTTTTTCCTCTGTCTTCCTCTCTTTATACATCCTCCTCCCCATCTTTCTCTCTTCTTGCAGTAATTTATGTTTTGTTTTCAATTTGTTCTACGCAAGTTTTTCTTCTCTTTACTAGTACAGTTGCTTTGAGGAAAGGTTTGCTTAAGTTCTTTTGTACCGAACACTTTAGGCTAAAAAAGAGCGAGTTGTGATAAGCGGGAAAATACCTCTTTACTATGCACGAAAGATGATGTTTCATGTGAGAACATACAATTAGAATTCCCAAAATGAATAGTTGCCTTCCTCATTATGATTGTCAACGTAAAATATTTTATCTAGAAAATGGTTGTAGGTAAATAAATTATTATCACAAACTATATTTTTTTTGTTAATCTGAATAAAAACCATTTCCAGAGAAGCCAGAGATAAAAAGATGTTACTGTGGAATGAAGACTACCCATTGTGTTATTACTATGAGGTATGGACCCATAATTCACTCATTTAACATCCTGACTTTCAGTGAGTCTAACGTAGGTTCAAATGTAGCCTCGATATAAGTTTAAAACGTGGGCACTGTGGTAGAGCAAGAAAGTTGTGTAAGTGCCTTGATATGATTATGAGCAATAATTTGTGCTCGAAACGTCATCAGCAAATATTACTGACGTAGCCTCACCTAGGGGAGCTTGGGTATCATCGCTGACTGAAGAAATGTGGTCCATTGGCTAAGCATTTAAGTTGGCCGATTTGTCTTGGATTCAAATGCTGCTTCACCCATTTCATCCTGAAAAAATAGGTAGCATCACCAGCCACTCACACTATAAGTCTAGCTCAGCCTTGGTAATAAGAAATCTATTCTTGTTATCTGATCCGTAACAATATCAATACTTCTCGAACAAAAATGTCTTAATCCATAGTACAAGAATAAAAATATAGGTTTCACTTTACTTTACTGTCTGTATAAGTATAAAATGTCTTCTCTTTAACTTAAATACCGAGAAGCTATCTTAGTCAAACAGCTTCGTACGTTGCAGTCAATTACAATTAGTTTTAAAATAATATAAATATAATTTGTAATGTTGTAGTTAAGACTCTGTGTATAACAGATCTTTGTAAGGTAATTCGTCTGAGATCTGAAATTTCATACCTATGTGGATTAAAATCGGCACTGTTGTATTATCAAATTATGAAGAATATCTGTAGGTTTGTTTCGAGAATCAAGTGGCTGATAATCAGTAGAAGTGAATAATCGGTGTTCACACAATAACATTCTACTGATGTGAGTAACAGATGATCGCAGATAGGTGGATGGCAGCTGTGAGCATACACCGTGTACTGTTACGTAGTCCTTAAAGCTAATACATCTGTCTCATTTTTGCACTTCAGGTAGAAGTAGTTAAATTCATATGATCACCAGCTGTAAAATGACCACGCTGAAATAAGAGAGAGCAAAATAAGTAAAAAAAATATGATAATACAGTCAAGACGTACATAAAAATTGCATGCATCTTCATCATCGGAATAAATTCTAAGAAAAAATGCCCTACTCTTACAGTGCAGTCTGCAATTTTAAACACATCTCACACTTCATGAATTGTTGGTAGGCATCCACTTGACGAATATTTACTGTCTTCAGAACTGTTTCTTCAGCTGGCAAAACAATATGCTGAAGTCGACAATAAGTAGATTTGTGTATTAAATTTTCACTTAGCTTCAGTTGGTGGAGGTGTGCAAAAACCTTTTGAATTTTTCTCATCGATTTTCTACGCGTATCTTCAGACGAATTTTTCAACTTGACTGTTACTTTAAAAAAAAGATTTTCCTAACCCAAATTAATATTAAAAAAGTACGTAAAGACGAAAGTAGGATCTCGTTCAGAAGTATAACAGTTCCAACTGCGACATTTAGAGTTATCACATGAATAGAAACTGAACAGTCAGAAAAATACATTTGATTAGCATCAATGTGAGATTTATTTCCTTTAGTTCCTAGAGGAACATAGGGCTTCAGCCGCACGTCTCCGTTGCGTTCGGTTCTCTACCAACGTTTTCACCTGGCTCCACGTCTGCCCTAATGCTTTCATCTCCTCTTCACTTGACCTCCTCTATGTCTTCCTCGGCCTGACGACCAACTCGCCGCTTCCAATTCAGGTTCCACTAGATTGATGGCCTGTTGTGTGATGTTATTTGATGGTTTTCTCTGAGTATGGCCAATCCACCTCCATTTCTTCCTGTATATTTCTTGCACAATCGGTTCCTGGTTGGTTCGCTCCCAGAGATCCTTCACTATTGCTGATCTTTTCTGACCATCTGATCTTGAGGGTTATTGAGCAAAGACAGATGTTGATGAAGGTGTGTAGCTTGTTCGAAGTGGTTTCCGTGACGCGGCGTGGAGCCAATTCTCTCATCCGTATATTAGCATTAACTTCACATTGGAGTTGAAAATCCGGATCTTATTTTTCATACTAAGTGCTGTTGTTCTATCTCCGCACAGACTTGAGAGTAATGAAAGCTTGCCTTGCTTTCCTGATTCTCGCTTTGATATCCCCATCAGTTCCGCCTGTAGTTGAAATGATGTGAGAAGGGAATGAATAATCAAATGAAGACGACGGTTAAAAAGTTGGTGATTTTGAAGATTTTCAAAAGAAAATGCACTTATACCATTATAGAAAATTTTCAATCATGACGTCATAAGTCCCCACCCAAGTACTGATTCTTATTAGCCTGGAAAACAATAACCGGAATTTCACCAACTTTCCCGTTTATACTGCTGGCACTTTACTGGCTGTTCTCAAAATATATGTTGTTCCTCTTTAGCTTTAGACTTCACAAGTATAAAGTGTGCTCTGAACGTGTCAGTAAGCATTTCTCCAACCTACCAATATAAGTCAGATTGCTTCTGTGTGACTATACACTATGTGCTGTTTAATGGTATAATGAGATTTTGAATGAACGTTGTGTTACAAACTCGTCTCATAAATTTGTCATTCATCTAGTATAGTAGGTAATAACAGATCTTCTAAACAACTTTTGTCTTGTTTTGCCTAGAAATCTTTGAAACACAACATAAGACTGAACTTTTTAGGATATGTTTTTCTGATTTTTCAAGAATTAAATTACTGAAGAGAAATCCAGACTTGTTACTATTGTACGTATTCAAGTTCAATTTTGAAAGTATCAAATCCTCCATTAGTTTGACTAGTAATTTCATACATTATTATTATGCAGTGGAATTACAAAACCGATCAGCAAGTACTGTTTTTTTTATTTCCTTCACGTTCCCTAGTGAAACATAGGGCTTCAAGCTAGTGGCTTGAAGTTTCTGTAGCAGTTTTCATTTTTACAGGATGGGATTGCTAGCCTCATGCCCAACCTTTCCCCTTCACCAGCTTTTTAGTTTTGGCTTAATAAGGTAAAGGAGTGCGCCGGCCGGGGATCGAATCCCGGACCATATGCATGGTCGGCGAGCGTCCTAACCGCTATGCCACCGACTCACAGCAAGTTCTGTACTCCCTGAAATTATTTTCATATCAGAATTCAATAACTTAAATCGACAGTAACAATTCAATTAGTATAGCGTCTAGATGAAGTGATTTGTTTTCAGTGAATTATATATAACATGTGGTTGATGAAAAAGTGGCATGAAAGTTATAACGTCCATCTCTTGGTATTCCACGAGTCCTTAACCATTAATTTCCCCACTGGATTAACAGATGAATTGAAAACTACGACACTATATTCGTCAATTTCAAGTCTACTTAAAACAGCTATTGGCCATTTATTCATATAACGTTAAAATTCGGATACGCAAGTTTGACAGTGGTTGATGAAATACTTATATAAGTAACAGAATCAGAAAAATTGAAAATATTGAGAAAGTAATGACATATATATATATATATAGCTGCGACACAAATTCAGTTGATACAGTAATTGATTTCTATACACAATTAGTACATATTGCATTCCCTTATGTAAAAAGTACACAATATAAGTGTTAGTAGACGGTAACTTATACAGACAACTATTTTCAGCCAAAATTATGTGTATTTAGTATTTACTTCATTCTGAATATTATTTCATCTACTTTGTTATTATCTTCTTGATGAAAATCCCTTTGTTAACTACTCACTGTATTCGTCTGTGTTGTAGTAACGGACAGAGTAAAAGCTGAGATTATTTATTTTCATTCTTATCTTCACGTTTTATTACTGCGTGGGTGTAAAGAACTGAAGAAAACGTTTCAAAGTGACTTCGTTTTACTTAATTGTATCTTTAAAAAGTTAACATATTCAAAGATATTTCAAACAAACCATTTCTACTCCATTAACCGATAAAAATAAATGGCATTAAAAGAAAATGATTTCAGTTAGTTTTATTTTAAGACCCACCGATTATTCAATGCCTTCTAGTTTTTATTATTTATTTGGTCATCAAAACATTTTTAGAAGTGACGGATTTTTTAAAATCTTTTTACTCCTTTCAAACAGAATTTTCTAATCCATCTTTCTGTTATTTTTATATTGTCGCCAAACATTCACTTTATTCAATAAAGCTACATATTGCGGCTGCAAATGGATATGAAGAAGTTACATTATTTCTTTTGAAACGAGGTGCGAAAATCGATTTAATGGATAGAGATGGATGGCAAGCAATACACATTGCAGCTTGTTGGTGTCAGGTAAGCTATTTATATTGGATTTAAATCTTGTTCCTATGCTGTATATGTAAAATCAATTTATGCACAAGAAAAGTTTCAGCACTTAATATACAATCTGTCTGTTTCAGAAACTACATACTATTGACTAATATCTCGATTACCACAGGAAAGTATAGTGAAATAACCACCTCGGACTATGTTAATTACGAACTAATTTGCGAATTTAATTTATTCATTTCAGGGTTTTCACAAATAGTAATAAGTGTCAGTATTAACTTCCTCATGAACTAACACTAACCAGAGGACTCTTAAGAAACAACAATCATTAAAGTGCTGTTTGATCCCATTTGTATACATTAAAAACACATCTACACTAGTGTAACAGTAGAATATAACTCTGTATCAGATAAGTCTAATTAATATAACACACAGTAATAGTTATTAAAACTGTATTGCCGTGTGCATCAAATGAACATATTTAAAATATGGTGCTTATATACTAGGAGAATATAGCTATCCTATGATAACCCGTTTTAACTGATTCACTGGCTGATGACCGCTCACGAAAATTAATCAAATCCTTACAAATATAATTAATAAATAATAATAAGTAAATATACTGGATTCCATTAAACTTTTGTGAGTTGTAAACAGCTACTTTATGGCCAACACAGGATGACTAATATAATTAATGAATATATTCGTTAATGGCAGAGATAGGTAATCTCTTGTTTTGTTCTGTTCCATGACTCTCGAATTATCCTTATTTACAACTCACAATATTTTACCTAAAGTGGAGCCAACAGAGTTTCGAAAACTAAGCAGAAAAGCAAATAGCTTTTTACTAGCACTATTCAAGTCAGAAATGATAACCGTCCTTTATGTACACTAATTTATCAGGATGAGGATGAAAGTCATCGCATGGTGTTGTTGCGCATAGCAGGGCGACTGCTACAACAGATAATCTATTTGTCTTTAAAGGTTGAGAAAGCACCTTTAAAACAATCAGACATCATTCCTTGAAGCACACAAAACAAAATCACATAAGACCAACCATCTTTGAAGATTCAAATTTTAATTGATCCACTTGGTTCTCTATATTCAAGTAGGAGTTAGATCTGTTTCGGTTGATAACTTCTATACCCATCTATCTTATCAAAAAGTATGCCAAATAGTTTTTTGGACTCACAGAATACAAAATTTCATCATTGATTAAGATTTAATAATACTGATGGGGAAACTGTAACTGGCATAGTGGTAGGTGATTAAAAGTGAAATTAAAATCTGAGTCCTGATAAGATTCGAACCAGCAGCCTCAGAATGGTGCTCAGCTGATCACTGAAGATTCTCAAAATAGTCCTACATATTGTTCATCAAACAACATATAAATAATCTGGGCAGAATTAAATCTAAAAACTCTACCTCATTATTAGTCTGAGTGGAAACAATCACTAAAACCTTCCATGCTTATTTGGTTTTTATTTCATTATTCTTGTAGGCCACTTTTCATAGCTCTCATAAATGATACGCTTACTATTTCTTCTTCAAACACCACTGACAATCTCAAGTAAAGGTCGTTGTCTAAGTCTCTGTACCTTCCCATTAGCCAATCAGATTTCTGAACCTACTGTACTCACTATCACTTCTGATGTTCTTTCATAGTGATGTGTTTGAAATGCTTGTTTTGTTGAATTTTTAAAATCATTAAAAGTCATTTCAGATTTCATTTAATAATTAAAAAGGTTTTCTTATACCTAACTTTTCTGAGTTACAGTAACGAAAGTTAACTATCACATCACTTTTTGTCCAACAATCTGTTTCATCTCCATCAAGTCAGATTTTGACTTATTTGTTTCTCCAGGATTGTGAAACATACTCTCATTAATTAATACTACCATCACTGAATTATTCAAGTACTCAATTCAAGATTTCTGTCTTGCAATGATTCATTCCTAAGTTGCCACGAATATGAGTAACTCATGACTAAGATTATCCGGTTGAAGCCTTTTCTGGATTTTATCCTTCAGAACAGTATACTATGGTATTCTAGTCACAGTTTCTAGAACTGTTATCATTTTTACGCATAAACATTTCCTAACTCTTATTGGCTTGATATTATTATCCTTCTTCTCGTCGACTGACTTTTTACATTTTGAATTCCTAATATTGAACAGCTATGCTATATATTTTTCATTTAGATTTATTAAACAGACAGACTATGGTCTGTCTGTTTACAGTTGAACGGCTCTTCCAGTTTCACTGAACACATATGCTTTGGTTTTTCGTGTTTATCATAGCCCACATAAGGGCAAGTTGAATATCTAGTGTCTACTGCTTCAAAAGAGTTTTATCATAGCCTTCCTATTCCAGATTGGTTTATTTTATGTTTGCTATGATAACAACAATGGCCAATACTAAGTGTATTACTTAGAATCCAAGCTCAAAAAAGACGAATGGCTTCATACTGCAAATAAGGGCGTAAAGAGGAAAAACTGAATAAATTCGAAGTAATCAATTAATGATACAGCTTTACCACATTTCATCTTGACTACTCCAGTGATTATGGTGATCGAAATGATGATCACTTTAATCTCCTTTGATATAGGTAAAAACAGTCACACATGCAAGATTATACAGTCGATTTAAGTACGATCAGAATTTTCTGAGCTTCTAATCTGCTATTTGATACAGCATGGGCACTGGACTCGCGACCACTCGTTGATATCCATCAGATTAATTTTTTGCTTAAAATTAAACTATTCTTTGATATTTTGCCAATCAAGGGCCATCCCAGACAGTTTTATCACTACAAAAAGGTACTATGATCGAAGAATCTAAAATCACTCCAATTAACAGACTTCATTTCCACACTGCAATTCGACGGAATTAAAAGAAAAGCAAAATAATGAAAATGGTAGAACCGCTGAAACAACAGAAAACCAGACAATTACGGAGATACAGTATCAGAGTTGAGACGAAGATAATGAATGAATGCGTCTGTACCACTGAGACTTATTCTCAGCCAAAGTTATCAAAACCTATGTTCGTCTACTTCTAATGGTAGTGTGGTGAATGCTACTTATAATCAGAAATAAGTAGTATATTAGTAAACGAATTCAGAAAAGTAACAATGTTTTGGGCACTGCAAAAAGCAGTCCAAGAAGAGAACTATTAGAAGAACGTTACAAAACTGTGCAGAATCTACCAGGCTATCGAATATGGTGATATCCTAGCAATTTGCAAATGATTAGCGAATAAAGACTTAAGTATAAGGTATACCAAATTTATGTAGCTACAGCGCCTTTGTCCTAATAAATAATGCCTTCGAGCCTCGTCAGTCTTTTCTTCTATACAAAAGCTTTTAAATCTAATTGATAATGGTGCGCAAACCTTTGAAATGATATAAATATATAATTGTTTAAGTAATAGTAGTAGTAGTAATGTCGGCAACAGTGGCATTACTTCCAACGAATACTTAAACTTCCAGGAGCAGCTATGACGCAAATAGGAGGAAATGATATCACCTACATCACATGTAGATAACACTCTCAGCAACTGAGACCTGACAAAAAGCTACATGTGTCAGTAATGCGTTACGCTGCTGGCTGAAGTAAACTGGTTTGAGTTGCCTTCTAGTCTAGGCTTTTGTTTCACACTCAACCAATTTCAGTGATTCACTGAGTTTTATACAACTTCAAATTTCTTTTTCTGCTACCTTTAAATTACTTGGTGTTTCTAGTCTATGATAGTTTGCTAACTGTTTTCAGTAATTTATAATTTTCAGTGTAATGATGTATTATTATTCACATAAAAAAACATCGCTTCAATTGTCTCATATTACTACTTTTCTCACAGGAATACCGCTCTTAAATTACTGTTTAATTTACAAGTTCTAAATACCTTTGACATTTAATCATACGAAATTTTCAAATTGCTCAGTATGTTTAGACGTACAAGGATGGTGTGATGCACAATATGTCTAAAGTATTCCGGCAAGACGGTCATTATTGGTAGAATTCTGAATTTTCACTTTTGTAGTAAACCTTAATAAAATATTCAAGGCGATCAATTACTTTTCTAGTTGAATTTCGGCCAGTCGAGTTTTCTTACTATATAAATGCTTCACTTTATTTCCTTTCATAGTTGTGCTTATGATGACCTCTAAAAACTTAGCATCTTCAAGGAATTCTCCATTTATGAAGTCAGTGAAAACCATGTAAAATGAACAGTTTTTTCTTATCTTGAGATTTTACTTCTGGCCCACAGCAAGCTCACATACAGGATTCCACCCTTGATAGCTATCGATTAACGACGTATTTCGAATATCACACACAACATCAGACTTATCCACCCACTCATGGCTTGATATATCATACATAACTCATAAAAGCCTTCGTGAAGTCAGTTATTCTTCAGACTTTGGTAACCATTGACGAAACATAGCAAACCAGAACAAGGCAAATTTCAATGCTTCTTTGCTTCCATTGCTTTTTTAGCTGTCATAAGTTGTTGATTAAAACTACTATCATTATGTACATACAAGTGAAGAATTTAAAATCATAGCGATGTATATTCCTTGATTCTCACTCCATATACATTAGGCACACCCCTCATATTTGTTCAGAGTACTAATCTTAAAATTTGAGGAAGGCCCTTAACAAGCAATACTTCGTTTACCCGTAAGTCAGGTGAGTAAGATCTAGAAGCCAACTTCACCAGTAAACGGGAATGTTTTAGAAATAATCAACTGAGTAATTTTGGCCTTTTATTAAAGTGATCATGGGTGAATATTATGTGTGTTGTATTGATTTTTAGCTAGAGGTAGTTGAACTGCTTGTAAATTTTGGTGCAGATATAATGGCTGAAACAAAAAGTGGCGAAACAGTATTTGATATATGCGAAGACCTAGAAATGAAATCGAGACTTCTTGAAATAAAACAAGAGATGGAGAGAAAAAAGTGCCAACAACAAGACTTACTTAATCGACCTGGAAAACCTCGTGAGCTGGCTCGCAGACGTAGTAGTACAAATCCCAGAAGGTAAGTTCGTTAGACATTTAATAAAGTACTTGCTATTAGTTTTATTTACACATTTCTATTAACAGTACACTTTCTCTGAGTCTTTTTGTTAAGAAGGTAAAAAGTATGCATGAAATCATAGACAATGAATCTCACTGAAAGGACACACTGTCACAGTTTGTAGGAATTACTACATTTTCTGTCATATGGCAGTCATTGATTATGATCAATAAATTGGGCTCGAAACGTCATCAGTAAATATTACTGTATAACACTTTGAGACTTTATCAGAATAAATTTTACCCATAATGGCAGTTATTACGATTTAAAATAAATTCAGCCGGGCTTCTTTAACCTATTTCACTGAGTCTACATTAGTGATACATAATGGCTTGTTTGGTTTCCATTGATATCCGTCAGTATATATTGGTTTATAACACTTCGAAACCTGATGCTAAACCAGCGGATTCCACTACAGAAGGCACGCTTTGTTTTCTTACTACTTTAGTCTAAAAACAAAGAATGGAAAGTCTCTAAGGAAATATGTTCCTTTGATTCCATGGATATTGAAGTTCACATATACGAACCCCTCAATGATGTCACTTAATGTAGAAACCTACGTTTTCATACCCTTTTTTTCTCAGTCAGTCAGACATTTTCATATATTTCTGAAGAATCTAGACAGGATCACTGTGAAATACAACAATGACGACAAAATTTCAAATTTTTTGTCACAGTTATAAATGTTTTTTTTATATTTCGCATTAGTTTCTTTATCTTATGGAATTGAATGATTACATTTCTAATTAATTAATAAAGATACTTTTTTCATCTTTGCTCTTATTTTATCTTCATCATGCTGATTGTCTGTAACTAGATTGCAAACTTTTCAAAAATCTTTTGCAGTTGTTTCCTATGTACTAGATATGAGTATGCGACAAACAGTAATTCCTAATAAAATCTAACAAAAAATAATAAAACCTTGCTCTAAAAAGAAAAAGAAAAAAATGAGGATGAGTTCAACTCATCAGATACAGCAGAAATCGTACTTTAACTATTCAATGAGGTATTATCATACCAACTGGGTGTCCGAATGCACTCATGTGCATCAGGATTCGAACCCGTGATTCGCCGTTGTAAATTGGATGATTGGATCAGTAAGTCATTTCTCCACACGTAATCTTAGTCTTTAGAGTCATTCATGATTTGTTGCAGAAGAAGAAAATATTCACTAAAAACAGGTAGAATAATTCAGAGTGTCAGTAGGACTGTCATAACAGTGTTGATGTAATCTTGATGCAGACTGCGTTATCAATTTTATAGATCGATTTGTGAACATGAATTTTATGTTCCATCTTTACCTACGCTTATAGAAAAAATATATGACGGGTTTTAGTGGAGTTTTTCAGGGTGAAGTAATACTGTTTTTCAATGTATAGACGCAAAACGGAAATTATTTGCAGCATGCATTTTGAATACTGTGTTAAACTGAGTGATGAAGTGAAACTTTCTAAAAGCTCTGAATAGGATATTTATTTTTTTTCAGGAAGTGTTTATAACGTGATTCAAGTTTTCATAAAATTGAAATTTGAATTCATTTAACATGCATGCAATTTGCTTAGCATCATCTTTTTTATCAGGTATCCGCATGAAATTAATTGCCGCAAAACTTTCCAAAATCAGATTTTGAGTGTACCTAGTAATCTGTTATGAAACGCTTGGTGTTCAGTGGACAACGAACTGTAAACTTAAATGTCTTGCCTAATGACGCTTGTGAGTGAAATTTACTGGGAACCTTAAGGATACGCCTGATTCTTTCTGTGATTCCAAATGGCCTCACTGATGGTCAAAATCAGTAAATTTGCGAGTAGGTTATTGAAGTAAATAGCAGTGTTGTTTCAGTTGGTTTAGGCCTTACATTTTACCCTTGACTGATATATTTTGTTCAATACAGTGGTGACTAGACAGCTGAACAAGTTACAATCGAGTAATCTTTCCAAAAAACATTTATTGAAAACAGTTTGTGAGAATAAAGTTAACAAGTTAAGTGTCAGATACTTGAATAAAAGGAGGTTGTCATTAAGAACTGGTAACAAGTGAACTTACATCCGAAATTAAACGCCATTTGGTTTTTAAAATACAACAGTAACTGGGGGCAGAATATGAAATGCTGAACGGTGAAAATGAACAAAATTCTAGAGAGAAAAAATAATGAATATACTTTTTCAGTTGTGAGTAATTTTCATCATTATCTGTGTCACGCCAGTTTCATTTGAAAATTCGAAGTATTTATATAACAGTATAAGATCTGTTTGATTTCGTAAAAAGCAGTTTAGGAAACAAGAGAAATGAACCAGTGGTATATACTACTGAACGACATCATTAGCTGAAAATCACCTACGTCAAACAACAGGGCTTGCTGGCCCAATAGAAACGGAGTAATCACTGGATGGCCGTTTTTTCGTTTCAGATGGAGATCACTAGAGGTACACCTGGTCACACTCAGCTGCGAAAACGGAACCATTTAATTTAAATGATCAGTCTGTAGAAATATGATGTAATAATCAATAAACAGTTCATAAATTTATCATCTAACGCTATCTAAGCTATTTAGGCTATAAGAAACACTCCGTACTTATCAACTGAAAGATTTAACTAAGTCGATACCCATTTATTTTTCTCTATGCTTCTTATCGCGTTTGCTACAATTCTTAGCTGGGAAACGTTTTTTAAATTAGTTGCCTTTCGACAGAGCCGGAGACTTTATCTACAAAGATTTCAATCCATACGCCGTCCTCATTACCCTTGATGAATTGGTTTATTCTTAATCAATATTATGAAAGGTGATTACTGATGAGCTGCATGATGAGATCATTCTTTCCTTCTGACTGTTATTTCGACAGAAATCTTGTTTGACCACTGATATTTATGCTCATCCTACTTTGTTCTGTATTTTTCCGTGAACTAGCGAGTTTATCATCATTTTACCTATCGTCCTTTGTATTCTGATTGAACTACAGTCCATTTGTTCTGAATGTGTTGATGTTTCTTTTTTAATTTACATTCCACCTGTATTCAGTTTCCTTCTATTCTTTAGAGTTGATCAATACATAACTTCTTGGTTTTTGAATTTTATGACTTGAGTTTATTTACTTGACTTATTGAGTGACCAGTTGTACGCTTCATTTTCCGTGTTTTACTGTTAACATCCATTATGGATGCTAGATGGTTGGAGGCAGTCGGCAGGAATCCTTGGACCTAGGTTTCGTCGTAGTTGGAACTCATCAGCAAGGTGTATCTGCAATCTAATATCAACAACTCAAAGTGCACTGTGATAACGAACCACATAGAGTGGTGGCCACATTGCAAGCTTGACTGATAGAATTCAGTCTGTACCAAACAAAGGACTAGACACATCACACTACTTACTAATGTCCAATCAAAACATCTATTATTTCCCATTCGAGTATGTTGTGTTTTAGTATGACAGGCTGTTTGAGTTGAGAAACCGTCTTTTTAGCTTGCTCTTACGGTATTATAATTACTATCCGTATCCACATGACTGTTGAATGCTGACTGCACTTCTCCAGAAATCCCCTATATCAGGTAACTTTGTCTAATCTTTGTAGATCACTTCATTATTTAAAATATTTCGGCTTAGTCATCATTGAATGAAAATTCGATGCACGAATCATTGGACTTTTTCAGTGCTTCTATACGGCGAACAAGTATGAGAGAAAAGAAAATGATTTCCTGGAAAGAAGCTAAACAAGAAGCTGAAATGCGTGGTGTAGCCACAGCAACCGACGATAAGGATGCTCCAAAAGCATTCAGTCCAGTACCTAACGGTTCTATGGATCATATTTTTGAAAAACCGTCACCCTCTTCAGAATCCCATGGGGCAACAAGTTCAAAAAACACCTATGGTTCTATACGTACTTCACATCCCAGTCATTCGTCAAAACCTCCAAATTCACCTGTTTCATCTCCTGTTTTAACACAACATGGTACAGCTCGACCAGGCAAAGTGCAACAAAGTGAGACAATCATCACTATCAATGGTTCACCTCAGTCACCTAATCTTCGCACGTCATCTAGGATGAAAGAAAGAGAGGTAACTTTCTCTGTTTTGTGACCGAATTTTTATCACGTTTGAATTTTTTATTTTCATCCACAGTCGCAATGGTTGAGTTTTTGTCACTTCCACTGGAAAATTGAAATAATAAGAAGACGTTTAGATCAGAATCTATGTTAAGTAATGATGCGATTGTTTTTTCTCATGGATAATTTATTTCTTAGTGTATTGTACTCAACCTGATCTGAATCAAAAGTGGAATAATTGACATTTTAGAAAAGCGTGTAACCATTAGTTTTCACAAAGTTAAGGTGTCTGTCTGTGTTTTTCAAAATGGTTAGTTCAATAAATGGAATATGTTTGCTAATAATCGTTGTTTTTTTATCTGGTAGTGGTTAGTACTGGAATACAAGATGCTCTTATATTCCTGTTTCAGCCTTCAGCTAAAGAGACTAACATAACGCTGCGTGATGGTGTTAATACTGACTGCCACACCGAGAATTTGTTGTACAACAGATTTGTTTTCCACCTCACCTACTTATTGGATATGCCTTCCGTGTTTGTTATGAGGATTGATGGGCTTGGGTTTCTTTGTGAACATAAAATTCAGGTATATCTAGCCAACAGATTCTACTTTAGAAGAAACTCCATTCATTACTGTCTACCAGTATATAAAAGATATCAAAATGCAGTCCAAGGCAACTTCAAAGTATTCATTAAAGCGACTCATGCGCCGAACCACACTGACCAATTTGGTTTGTTGAACCGAACAAGAAATTGTAAACACAAACAAATGAGCACAGATTACTGGTTTTATACAACCCGCTTCTGAAAATACATATGCATCATTTAAATATAAGCTTATTTTGGGTTTAACTCATTTAATCACCTTTTGGAGGAATGTTTGATGAAAATTACAAGCCTAAAAACTTATTACTTTTGTGAATTAACGATCTTGAAATTTCATTATAAATTATTTAAATTAATCCCAGCGTGTTAAGAAAATCAAAACAAAATTTTTCTGAACGTTTCGCTGTGTAAGCCACAGCTTCTTCAGCAGATTTATTCGGATATATATATATAGTCAAAAATTTTTACATACATTAAAGTCAGTTTATTTGAAGGTCATTTGTCTATGGACATTTTTACCAATAGAAAATATGTATATTTTTGACTATATATTTTGATGATTAATAAAAATCCGAATAAGTCTGCTGAAGAAGCTGTGGCTTACACAGCGAAACGTTCAGAAAAATCTTGTTTTGATTTTCTTAACACGCTGGGATTAATTTAAATAATTTATAATGAATCAATCTGACTCGGCGCTCAAATTATTCCAGGAAGTTCGTAACACCTACGGCCTGGAAACCTATGATCTTGAAATTTGTTGTTTCCGAATAAGAGATAGTGAACACTTGTTCTTCACTCAGTACATATGATGTCCATGTAATCTTCTAAACATCAATTTTTTTTCTTGTACTACAAGAGAATTTCTAAGTTTATAAGAACTGCAAAAACTCGTTTCGTTTCAATGTTTGCGGTACTTTATCTCTAACTCGCTGCAATTTATACTGAACTGTTTCTACAGTTTGAAATCTTTTGTAAACTAAGTTTACTTTATTTCTTAATTCAAATTAAGAGCCTAAAGTTGACGCATTGTTTAAAAACACACGTGAGAAGCTAATCTAATGCGGAAACGACTTCATCTAAAATGAAGACTAGGCTATTGTAATTACATTGGGACGCAATTAGTTACAGTTATTATTAACACCACAATTATTTTAACTTTGAACAATACAGACATCTACAAATAAGCCTAGTATTGTGTAGTAATGCGCATGAGCCTGCAGTACTAACCAGTTGTTGAAGTTGAGAAAGTTGGAGCAAAGTTTATACTCAATACCCATTGGTTAAAAGCTAAATGTTTATGCCGATAAGCCATATTTTAGCTACTGCACAAACCATACATTTGATTTCTTTTATGGCCTGAACACTCTTTCAGCATTAATCATGGAAAGTATTTATATATTCTGTTATCATACTGGACATTCATCACAGAGGTGATAGAATAATACTGTTTGCTTGACCCTGTGATATGATCACTGTTTTGCATAGTGTGTAAAGCCGTAAATTCATGAAACTGATTGATTTGTGAAATTCACTTTGGATGACTCGTGAACAGATTGAAACTTAGTTATATCAAAATCTTCTGACAACCAGTATTAACTATCATCTATGGAAGTTGAAAGTCCTCCGTGTTTTCCAGCCCTTACTAGTCTATCACATCAAATTTCATTTGGATTTACTACTTAAAGTTGGAGGTTGACAATGAAACCCAATAATCCTAAATAAATATTTACTTTATACACTTGAGCACATATTCATAATGAAATTTACTAGTTCCAACATACCTGTCAGCTTTCCTACAAAAATAAGAATACATATACTAAGTATGTATCATATTAATTAGGGAATTTTTCCGAAGAGTATAAAAACAATCTTTATTGTGAAGAAAAATCATGAAATTTATAAAACATCCAATTACGCCGAAACTTCATCGGGAATTAGACAAATTTTATCATGCAAATAGAATGGAAAATATGCCTAAAATTCTCTTCCCACTGAAAAGACATTTATCTTAATACTGAATAGATAGGAAATTTTCATATTAGAAGATGAGATTATTTTCATTTTATTGTCTACTTTTTGGAAAAGAGTGAAGTCAGAAAATAAAACTCTTTACATTTTCATGCGTTTTCTTTTCGTCAATAGGTCTAACTTTCAAAATCATTTATGTCACCAGTCTCTATCATATTGAGTGGTGTGGCAGTTTTATCTGCCAATCACGTGATATTAAGCTTCTTTCTGCAAGAAAGACTGACAACGCTGACTGTGTCAGCTGTGGCAAATCATCTAACAAAATTTGTGCGTAGTTTTAGTATACTATTGAAATTACTTATGAAATACTGTGAGCTTGTAAAGTAGTAACCTTCAGATGTAGAGATGCAAGCTTACCTCTGATATTGGCTGTTGATTGCTTCAAGTGATGAAATGAGAGGAAGTGAAGTAGACAAACTGTTAAACTCCACATTTCATTCATCCTAAGACTGCGCTTATATAGTTATTCACTGTGAAAGAGTACACAAACAACAACATAATACTTTGTCGTACTCCATGGTATTAAATATTTTTAGCGTTTATATGATCCTAGGAACTAAAACTTTCTAAATCACCATTTAGTCAACATGACCTTGGAAATTTAGCAATTATTTTACTATTTCCCTCTGACTTTAAATATAGCAGTGTTGCGCTTTTCGTTGTTCTGTCTGAAAAGCATTTCTATTTATATCCACTACCCACTGAATTCTTCTCGAAATTTCTCACTCAAAGTTGCCCTAATTTCTCTTCCATTTTACACGGTTAGCTATCATCCTATTTCCATCCTGCATAGTTATTCCATTTCTAATGAGGGCTATTTGTGGGCTGAACTGGTGATGATGTCTTCAACGTAGACACGTCTTAATTTCGGAGACAATGTGAGTCTCATCAACATTGCAGATAAACGTTGCTTGTGAGTGTGAAAAATATGACTTCTTGAAACTACAGGATTTCCTGTCGATTCATGTCAAGTACCGAATTATTTACGGTTCCATAAACAACTCACCTATTTCACTTTCACTTGGTTTTTAATGTGTACCAAAATCTACTGATGAGTCAGTAGCTTACTGTTTCCATGTAGAATTTAAGTGGTCCTTGAGTATCGTAGAACACACATAGCGATCATTGCGCTGTATTAGTAGCAAGCAACTGTTAAGCATGAACAGACGAAGAGGAAGAAGAAAAATTGTATAATAAATGGAATATATTTTATTATGTAAATCATTAACAAGAGCGCTTGTCTTGAGACTTCAAGTTGTTACAGTTAACTGTAAAACAGCACAAACTTGACATTTGGCGTCAAGTAACGTAGACCCCGTTTTGTCCTTTTATTACTTTTCGCACTCATAAATGTGGAGTATCTTCAACATTGAGAGGAGTCAAACTTTATCTGAAACTCTAATCTAATAATAAATGCCAGCAACTTCGGAATCTAGACACAGAGCTTCTTTCTCATAAAATACCCATATTTAACACAGGAAGCGTAAGTGCATTGCAATATACAGCATTATCTTGTTATTTGATCTGATGACTGCACTGTATACTACTTTACTGGTCAGTTTTCATTGACACACTTGAAATTGAACAGTTGAATTGGTTAATATAGTTTAGTATTAGTTCTTGCAATACTCAGGTGACTGTATAGTGCTGAAAGCTACCATATTTAGTTTCTGAAATCCTATTTTATAGGTTTAAGTTACAATTATTACTTAAAAATAACTCAGCAAAATCTGAGCAGATTACTAACATTTATCACGTCTTCATCAGTTCCGAATTTTTGTGGTAGGATTTCATTGGTTAAATTTTTAGCAATAACTGAAGGTTCTCCTTTGTTGCTATAACAATACTACATTCGTTTACTGTTTTCTATGTATTCCTTGATAACTTGAATTTACCTTACGCATGAATATTTTTCGGTTGATAACGTCTTATACCTTTGGCGCATTAGTTTCTTATCTCATCTTTTTTCTAAAAATCTTAAGATCAATCAACCGAAACGAAACAATCCACCGTCTTCCGCGTATACTGAGTCTAGTCCAATAGCTGTCCACAGTCCGTCGCCTGCCACTCACCACCGAACAGTTCATGATAAAGAGGTAAGCTTCAATACTTCATTGAACATAACGTAAACACTTTAAAGTCTTTGACTCAAAACCCCATGTTTTCATGCATAAACTGAGTTTTTTCTTGCCTGAAGTGTTCACATATATGTTTAATACGGTTTTATTATTGAAACTACATTGTGTTACGTATATATATATATGTTGTTGGATATTGAGTGCTTGTTCATAAACTTTCTTCATGGACACAGCCATAACCGTTAAATGTTGCTTGTGACGAGAATCTCATACCGCCATCATGTTTCTTTCCATTCAGCCCCTACTAACTTAGCTCTGAGACTGTAAGTAAGTGATAAAGCAGACTTCCACGGTTTGTCGAGGTAACGAACCTTAGAATAAAGAGGTTTTGGTCCAGAAAAGGGCACCTTATTTATGGCTAATTTCCTTAGATCAGCAATGAGTCGACCGGGAAATCTTAAGTAGGTTATTACCCCTGATATAATTGCAGTAATCAAGTGGCTTAAGACACCGTATGTAGAAGTGGTGTGGTAAGTGGGCGCAATTTCCACTGCCAATACATTAGATCTCGTCGGTATTTTTCCACAACCCAGAGAACTGATAGGATTGCATTGCAAGGTTGCACAACAGCATCAGACACTTTAGGTGAAACGACTGAAAGGAATAACCACAATGCTCTTCATGGATTCTTAAAATCATTGATGTACCCATTCTAAATAATGTTCTTTCCCCAAGAGAATGAATAATTTGAAAACCACAGAGGTAGTCGCATGACTTAGTTTCCTTGTGGATGGCAAAGAGTACTGAGATCACCATTTTGGTACCTTTAGCGTAATAGCATTTTGCCAAATTTTTTAATGCACCACTTTGTTCGAAAACCAATTTATCTGGTGAGAACAACTAATCCAATGAGTCTGCATGTACACTATTCATGCTTGGGGGGTTGGCTTGTAATAGTGAATGCAAAAGTGTCTTTATTAGTATCTGTCAATCAGGCTACAACTATCAAAGTCTTTAAAAGTAGTCCTTTCTCTTTTATTCACATGCGCAGTAGGTCATCTGGTCATCATTTTATACGTGTAGTTATTCTTAGTGAAAATAAGGAAGTACTTTTTCACTCAATTTAAGCACAAAGTAAATCCTCTTGTAACCAATCCATTTTATAAATTCTTGACTGAAATTAACAGAAATTTAAAAATTGACGAGCCTTAAGCTTGTTAGTCTTGTAAGGCGTATCACTTCATTTAATTTTGACCTCTTGAAAAATACCCGCATACTTTATTCTAAGACAAAGGCATCTACTGAAAATGAGTTTCCTCTTTGTCTAATAATTGATATTTAGAATGTATTTTGTGTATTTACACCCAACTACACACTGCGTAGAATCGATGGTAATTTCTTCTTTTACATATTAATACTGATAAATTATTGGCAGCTAACTTGTCACCCCTGGATCAGTAACCTGTGTATTATTTAATGAATACTATACATCAGTGTATTTTATTTTTTTTATTTTTCCTTCACGTTCCCCAGTGGAACATAGAGCTTCAAGCTGGTGGCTTGAAGTTTCTTTAGCAGTGTTTATTTTACGGGATGGGGTTGCTAGCCTCATGCCCAACCTTTCCTCTTCACCAGCATTATTTCTGGCTTAGCGAGGTAAAGGAGTGCGCCGGTCGGGGATCGAACTCCGGACCATGTGCATGGTCGGCGAGCGTCCTAACCGCTATACCATCAGTGTATAGTTGTCGGTAAAAAACTCTTCGAGGAGATTTTTTTTCGCTTAGCTGATTTTTTTAGATCTGGCCAAATCAAGTTTGGCCAACCTTAATAAGCGAATTAGCTCAGCCATAATTATGCTTCAAGTGACGCACACACACAATGGAGTGGAATAAACTTAAAACCCTTAAAACTAATACAATTCAGTAAAAAGAGAAACTGATAACAAAACACATGTCTAATGCTAAGGGCTTGCAGTAGGAGTGAGTAAGCACTTGTTCTAAACATCTGCAAAATCACACTATCCTGTTAACAGTCAAAAGAATAGAACTGGGATAGTAAATACACAATCTCGGAACCACCCTGATATCATGTCGAGCAGAAAATCGTACCTGCAATAAAAAAGGAATATGGAATTATGTTGTGAATATAATCAGAGAGAATTTCGGCAAGTATTTCTAGCCTTTATAACATGTTTTAGTCTTACTTAAATAACCCTTATTGTCGACTATTTTAAATTTACATTTAAAAACAACAACAACAACTTTAAAAACGTGTCAGTATTCTTTTATCTGTTTGAGGCGGGTCAATACTTCACTTAAAACTTTTTATTTAAGTGATCTGCTCCTTCCATAAATAAATATTTTACCATATTCTCACTGATAGGATGCTGTACTTTACCGCACTTACCTACTAATACCAGTAAGTCGTATCTCAACAAGAATGCATAGCAACCTAAACTATTTTGTTCCTATAGAAATAGTCTGACGAAATCACTCATGAGCTACTGACTTAATTCTTGTGATAACCTACAAAATGGGAACTAACGCATGCATTATTATCATTTAAATCGCTGTACTTATAGGAGCTTGGCAAAGTATCCTGCTTTTCGAATAAATTAGGCTCTGAACACATTTAGTTATTTTTTTCAGCTAACTAGCTGGCTTGACATTATCATTATGCTAATATATATATATATATATATATATATGAAAGCTATTACCTAGATATAATGTTAATATAAGAGTGAAACTTGAACTCTGTGGTAGAGTAAAACTCCACGTTAATCTGTTTCTTTGATATGACAACCATTGACAAAGTACCATTAGCCACGTGAAATTCAGATCACAATTTATCTCTCATAGTCATGTAAGTTCTATTATAGAGCTATATCATAAAGAAGCTCAGCTACAATAATACATTCAAAACCAAATTTACAAACGCTTATAGCTATTCGACGCAACCTTTATGGTCACAGTTTATACTGTGACTGTATGTACAGTAATAATGTAATGCTCTTCTAGGTGACTTATCACACTAATTTTCACACACTTCCTGGACTGTGACAGTTTGATTGAAACATACTGAAGGGTTTGACCCATGCTGTTGATCTCACTGTATAATACTGATTGGTGGGATCTTCATACTAACGTTACCAGTTACTCTGTTAGGTAAACTCACCTAATGCTATGTCATGTCCTTAAAAAATATTCTGTTTCTTCTGTTACATAGTAAATTAATTGCAGCATAGTGACTGCTGATAAATAATTTGTAAAGTAGCTTTTGCTCATTGTATGTCTTTCGCTTTCCTCTGACGCATTTAAAACATGCAATAAGGCGCAAATTCCCCCTACTGCTAATAGCTTTTACCTGTGGTTTCCCCATTCTGTTGCTCATTCATGAGTCTATCTGTCTAAATAATGAGTAACGGTTGTCTAATTTGTTGTAATAATTAATAAAACAATTTTTTTTTAATTTTAGAGAATTATACGGATCCCGTCAAACACCATACAGAACACAGACAACTCGGGAACATTGACACGAAAGTCTCAACAGGTAGAGTACGGTAGTAAATCCCCACCATCTGGCACACCTAATATGTCTCCACATCATACTTTAAGTCCTCAACCTCGCCACTCGAAAAGTCGAACGGTATCCGGTATTGATCCTGGAGTTCCAGATCAGCCTACGCCTCAACTAAAGTCTCGAATGAACAGTTATGAAAATGCCCAAACATCTCTTCCTCGTCGAGATGGTAATCAGGGTACTGATTCAAATAATCAACCATCTCGTGGGGAGAGAAGATCGTCTACACGGAAGAGAAAATCTTTGTCCTCTGAACAAAAACCATCAAGAAATGAAAATAGAGAAACTGATGTTTCTATACATAATGCATATTATGCATTACCAGCATCGAATAACCAGTTTCAGAATAATCATCCACGTGGTGAAGATCTCAATGATAACCAAAATATTATACTTCGCTCGCCTAATATTAATCGTAATGATTTCCGATTGTCGAATCGAGGAAGGGTTAGTTCGGGTCAACAAAATACATCAGGACAGGTTGTACATGCCACAGCAACTATACCGAGAAGAGAATTGATCAATTATGGTGATGATTTAGGTTCTAGGCCAAGTGGGAAATGCTGTTTAATAATGTGATTCTACTTAATGTTCCAACCACTACAGTCTTCACTCAACATCTGTTCTTGTTGAATTAAATATATAAATATTCAACAACCTTCATTGCCTCTTAAGTAATCCCACGTTTAAACGGCCAAACTCTGTACATATCAGTTCACATTCCCGTCCCCTCCTCCCCTTCCATCTCTTTTCCTTTCTATTTTCCTTATAACTTTTCAGTAGTCTATGAAGATAAAATCCAAAGGCAAAAACAAAAACAGATTCCCTGATCATGTTTAAGTTTGTTATTCTTAAGGCTCAATTACCATTAAGTGGTGAAACAGTATTTTTGATCAAGTGATTATTTAGTTAAATTCTGTTCATATACTTATTTACATATTCGTTTGTTTTCCATAATCTAATGAAAATATTCAGCTTTATTAAATTTAACCAACTGTTTTGCGTGTTTGCATGTATGTGTATGTGTATGGTGTTCAATAACCATCGTGCTTTCCTATGCATCACTTGTCCGGTTATCCAGTGATTGGTTGACCACAATGAATAAATACAGTTAAACTGATCTCTCATTAGCTGATACAGTTTGTTCGTTGTTGTTCTTGCTTTCGTTTTCCCCTAAAGACTTCCTACACTCTTGAATAAAAGAATTTTCTTCCTTTTTCTACTAATATTTAAATAATAAATTGTTCTGACAAGTCTCCATAATCTATTTACCTGATCTGCATACGAACTCATGAAGTGTTTAATCATGAACTCTGACAGATATTCGGCTACAATTGGACCTGCAAACTAGGTATTCTAGCCTGCTGAATAATCGTTACTAATCTGTTTGATACTGCAGGTGCACGTACCACATTTTATGTAAGTGATCAATGAGGACATTTCTCAGTCATCGACTAAAAACATATTGTCTTTTTTGTACGCAGATGTAAATCATTCACTGAATTGACTTGAATTTATCTATATCAGTGCAAATCAATGATTGCCACTGACTAATTTCTCAATGATTTTCATAAACCTTCATCGACGGTCCAGTAATATATTCAGCAGTTAAAGAAAAACCATCATTCGCCCTCTAGTATTTATCAAACATTTGCGTTTATCATTTGTATACTGTTCATCACAATCTTCAAGAATCAATGACATAACCTATGTCACTGCAATAAAATCTTTTCTCTCTGTGTCTAGCTGGAAAAGTTCATAACTTTCACTATTCTTTAAGCTTCTTCTCATCATTTCCCCCTGTATGTGTATTATGTTGAATTATCAAGCTAATATCAGAGTCCATTTCTTCCTTCCGATTACTTCCAGTCACTGAAAATTAATTCTGATTCCACCACTATGACTTAATAACTATACAGTAAACTTGACAAATGGTATTCGGTCAGTGCTAAGAGATAAAAAAATGCTACACTTGTTTAATCCTAGTAACTGGCCAATGTATTCAACACACTCTTACAGCATGAATTTCTTAGTGACACCATCTCTGAGTGCATAGGTGGGTGAAACAGACTTGTATCTCTGAGGAGACGTCAGATCTGTTGAAAATGAAGATATAGAATCAATAAATACAAAATCCCACATTCAGTACTTCCTATACATTGCCTTTGGTCATCCTTTACCAAACTGCTCCTATTTTACCCTTATGTATTCATTCTTTTTGCTTACAATGGTAGTGCATTAAAATTTCAGAGAAATGACTAACAGTAATGGGTTAGCTACAGGCCGAAAATAGCTTCATCATTTACAACTTTAATAGTATAATGTTCTATGCTTCTTACAATGTAGTTTTCTGGATTTAGTATCTGCTGTAGCAACAGATGGCAAAAGACTCATTCACGTACAAAACCTATAACTTCCGTATTTAAGGTACTTATAGAACTCAATGTGGATAAACAGGAAGGAATTTCGCTTTTAAAAGTTGAGCTGAATAGACCATCTGACTTTTCTGACTCGGTTAACCAATTGAGGCAAATAAGGTAGTTAGTGTTTACTGCTATAGTAGTATAGTTGCGTTTCGAATATACAATAATTGGTAAATGCAGGTGAATCCAGAATGAATCTCCCATAAGATTCAAATCACTGGCCTACAAATCACTAAGCATACTAAGCAAACAACTGCTGGACTAACATACTACATCACTATCAGTTTGCAAATCTAAGACTATCTCAGGCAGTCTTACCAACGAAATCTCTGGGATTTCATCTATACATGTCTCATGATCACTATCCACAAAAAGAATTGGATATCACAAGTTCTGTGTTAAAATCTTTCTTTCAGCTATTATTATTCAGCTGTTTAAATTAAATAATTTTATTTAGTATTGAGGAGAAATACTTTGTTAATTTAATACACAGTTTGTTACGAAATTAGACAGTTGACATAGATTTATTGCACAACCGATGTCTGCTTTACTTAGAAAGAGAAAAAGATACAGATTTTCTAGTCACAGAATACATAATTAAAAAATGCTTTTTTTACTGACAAAAGTGATTTATCATACTACTTTGTTGAGAATGCAACAATTTCAGGAAGTGGTACACACTAACAACCATTAATAGTAAGCAGTAGTAGAAAGAATTGTTAGATATAACTATATTAATCACCATCTGAGCTGTCACAATCACTTGGTTCTTTTACGCCTTCTGATCACATATTACATAAAACCCTTAAATTAAGAGTAAATTGTTTAACTTGCTTAAGTAATCAAAAATTGGAGAGTTGAAGAAGGAGAAGAAGAAGATCATGATAGCTTCAAGGTTACATAACTCTAATGAACCACTGTCTTCAGAATAATTCCTTTTCACTGCTTTCAAAGTAAATAATTAGTGAGAAGTAACGAATTTCAATATAATATAGCACAATTAAAACTGGAATAAGAGTGGTAGTCACTGATTAAGTTTATGTTCATCAAAGGAGACAAACACCTTTTTCTAGGAATAGATCAACCGATTAAATTCAGAATAAAGATATTATCTAGACATCTATTCCAGGAGCTTATGCGTCAATAGGACACTAATATCTAAGCCTATTAAAACAAATAGCAGTAAATCACAAGTTTTTGTAAGTTGCGGCTGATACCGATTGCAGCTGTCTCAGCTAACTAGCCTAGTGTACTGCTCCTTGATATTTGAAAACCTGGGTTCTGAATTCATGCCACAATGAAAACACAATCCGTTACTGAGATGTATGTAAGTTAACCGACGAATCTCACATAAGAGGAAACGTACTCCCTGGATTCCACTGCTAGCCATCATCCATGAAGTAAATGAGAAAACAGATTAAACCACTCAGAAGATAGTGATCGTAAAGCAAAAATGTCTCTTCTTTACGATACCACAAGAAATCAAGTCCCTATGTTTTTTCACATTTACATAAGAGAACAAAACAATGAAGTTACCCAAGGTTATAATGATAATAATTCACAGCCCAACCCATACTAATAGAGTCTTTACTAAAATAACAAATATGGAAGCTCCATAAGCTAGTTACACATCTTGGCCAAAGACTGAGTATAACATGCCAGAAAGAAGTAAAGCCTTTTAAACGAGTCTAATTAAGATGGAAATTAACTTTAGGAGGAGGTAGCCAACAACCTTGTAAACCATTGTGATGAAAGCAGCTAAGTGAATTTTATCATTTCTACGCAAGCATAAAAAAATATTCAAATAACTCAAACCAAGGCTTCTCTTTTAACCACATTAAAAGTCGGCGAAATGAGAACAGAAGTCTAATTTAAGTGTATCATCGAGTAAGCATTTGATTTTAAGATTATTTCTAATTAAGGTTTTACATAATTTAAAAGAATGAAAAAAAAAACAGTTTAAGCAACTTAGGAGTAACAGACACATACTGTTGGTTCAGTCAGACAGTGACTTAGGTACTTTAGAATTTAACTCAACTAACCAAACATATGCTATCTTATGAAAGCAAAGTTGTACGTGAAATTAAGCAGAAACAGAATCAAAAATCTGTTATTGAATCTGCGCTAAAAGTGTATAAAACATATATCAATTTGACAGATAATGAACTGGTTAGTTTTCCATATAACCTAACTGTTAAGTGACTGCCTGATATCCTTGAATCTGTAGTAAAACATTTGGTGAGATATAATCTTTAATACACTTTTGTTTTCACCTAGTTCAAGAAACACATGTTTTCTTCCGGTGTCAACTTCCTCTTCACAAACACCTTTCTATGACTACTGCATTTGACTCCACTCATTTTATTTGCCTTGACATTTCTTCATTTAATCAATGAATAAACTGATTCTCTTGTATAACTTGATCGTTCAGATCCTTTTGAGTAAAGAGATCTGTTTACAGTAAAATGAAGTGGCTATAAGTTCATCTCTCTCTCTCTCTGAAACTCTAGTCCATTATTCCATGGCTAGTGTTGAAAATTTCGCCCCCAACACTTTGGTCATTAAGGACAGAATACTGCTTCTATTCACGAGTTTTTAATTTGCCTGGAGTAAATTGTATTGGTCTTGAATGCATTTACAAACACCGTTTAGCCAGGTTAACCAAAGAATAGAGAACCAGAATGCAGCTTAACTCTTAAGCTTTTTTCATTCTCTTTTAATCGTGGCTGCATGGTGATCCACGCGGTACTTTAAAGCTACACTATAGTACTGCTTTATCAAAACATAGGCAAACATCCGACAACCAGTAAATCTATACCTTACATCCGTTTTTAAATCACCCCCAATACTTTGGATTCCTGAACAAACAGCATATAGAAACAAAGAAATAACATAGTTGGAGTCAGTAAGTTTACTGATCAAGTCCAATATTTAGTTGTAGTTAATAGATGTCATCTACTGAGCGGACTGTGTCCCACTTATTGTGTGAGGCCTGACGTTGAAATCCAGTCATCTAGGCTGAAGTATGTCTAGTGGAATCGTAACGCGGCACCCAGTGGTTAAAATCCGACTGCTACAGCCAAGCCATTAGCAGCATTAATTAAATGGAGAAAATAATTTACGATTCTACTTCAACTCTATCTTCTATAATCTTGT